ACCGGGCAGCGTCTCGGCTCGACTGCTACTTTTGAGTTCTCTCCCTGCCTTTCGCTTCTCTTTGCCTGGACATGCATGGCTTCGTCGGGCGCTCCTCTGCCTCCACCGCCGCTGCCCCAACGGCCACCAACAACATGGGCGCCGATTTCTAGGCGCCGGCTGGGCTGCAGCGGGCCATCGTCGCCGACCCCTTCCGGCGACTTCCATGCTGGTGGATGCTCCCGCCTCCGCCGGAGTCTCCCACGCGCTCAAGGCAAGGATGTCGTGCCGGCCATTGGGCCGGCGATTCGGCCTGTCCGAAGGGAACCGGCAAGGGCAGAGCAAGAGCCGAAAAACCGTCTTCCACGGCATTGTCGTCGACTATGGCTTCCAGGGCGGTAAAGGCCAGACCAAAAGCAAGAGCGGCCGTGGAGTGCCGGGCAAGCCGGGACCAGGCGTCGCGGACACTGCTACATCTGCCAAAGTGCCACCGCCTTCTTCCTTGGACCCACCGGAGATGCCTTCGGCCAGGCCGGCTTCTTTTTTTGGATGGTGTGGCGCCGGCATCGTTGTCGTCCTTGCTTCCCCACGACCTCAGACAGCCGACCGAAGGCAGAGGCACGACCTGCGAGAGTAGAGGAGGCTATGGCATCAGCGTCCTGGACGGCCTCTGTGGGTCTACTTTGCCAGCGACATTGACTTTGGTGAGGCCTCCGGCTGTGGCGGCACAGCTGCCAACGACGGCGACATCGTCATTGAAGGCCTTCCAGAGGCGGCGGGCGGCGGCTGAGGCGTCTTTCGTCCCGCCCGACTGCGATGACCTCGACGATGTGGGTGGCGGCTTGGATGGCTACCTGGCGCTTCGCTTGCCAGCGGGCGCCAAAGAGGTTAGTACAAGTGCCGGCGCCTTGGGGGGTTGGGTGCGGCGGGCGGGCGCAGAAGCCGACACCGACACCGGTGTGCACAGTTCGCGCTTCGACCAAGAAGGGGGCCACTGCACCTCAGTAGATTTTTCGCTAACACGTCGTTGGCGCAGCGCTTGTTGGGCACGATTCGCGCTTCGACCCACTGCACCTAGCTCCGAAGATTTTGGCTAACACTTCGTTAGCGCAGCGTTTGTTCTTTACGATTATGTTCGCGTGCTAGTCAACTTTCTATGCGAAGGGAACCTCGACATCTGCGCAACAGCTTTGCGTCGTCACGACTATATGGAAGAGTTCGCAACGCCAACATAATTTGTAATAAGGGTCAGACAGCGCACACAACTATGTGGACGAGAGATGACGAGGGTGAGTATGCAGCGATGCCGCATTTATCTTCTGGTGTTTCCTGGTTCGTTGACCATGCAACGTACTCCTTGAAGAGAATTACGACCACTCCAGGAAGGGCTCCTGCCTCATTCTGGGCCAGGTCACGACCTTCTCTTGGATCACTTCGAGTTCATGGATCGCACGCCTCAAGTTGTCTCAGGGATGCACACGGCTGAGGCAAACACTTCTGCTATTTTGCAGTTCCCCCGTAGCCAACAGACTTCCGTAATGGGCAGGTTGGCGGAGACATCGAGTTTCGAGAAGTGGAGTGTTGGTCTCGGTGTTTGCTTTTGCCTTGCTCCTTCCTCAGACTTCGCAACATATTAACCCCGAACTGAACCACTTGCAGCAGTCCCGAGCATGCTAGGAAAGCAGTGCAATTCAATGCAGTTCACAAGACGAGCACTCCAGACTCGAACTGGGCCAGCCAGCGTCACGCCACGCTTCAGGAGGGAGTTGGAGCGGAGGGATGCGGAGGGCACGGCATCGCGTTGATTTTGGTGTCACTCGCAGCAGGGTCGGGCCAGGGCTCTTCCCCAAACAGGTTGGAAGGAAGGAAGGGAGGCAGGCGCGAAGATCGGCTCGTCAACAGTAGTATGGCGTGTCTTCAGGGGCCTGGTGCAAGGTTCGGGTATGTTCAACCTCAGGCGGCACAGAGTCAGCGTCCGGTGGGTGTGGTTCAACAGAAGGTCCAGTACTAAGTATTTGCTACTAAGGTAACTGCTGGGTGGGCGGCACTTGCAAAGAAAGTCTCACACAGACGTGGCAAAGCCTGTATCTGGGGTCTATGCGCAGGAGGGTGGGACTGCTTCCTTGTCTGACCCACGGAAAGCAAGAGAGAGACGACAATGGACGACAGAGATGCAGTCCCCATGGATGCCAAGCCAAATTCGCGAAGACGGAAGACGTCCTCGACCGTAAGTTGCAGAATGAAAGATGCGGGGAGGGGGTATACGGCTTCGGAGAACATAGCCTTTTGTTTACATGCACTTTGGCGTGTGGAATCTTCCAGCTTGCCTCTGGGAAGCCCTTGCTTTCAGAATTTCAAGACGGACAAGAGCAAGTAAGAAAGGAAGGAAACAACTAACAAAGGAAAGACAATAAAGTAATTAAGGAAGGGGTTACCCTGAAGCAAAAGTGGGGAGGCAAGGATTGAACAAATGCAGCGACGAAGAAACGATTCGGAAGCTGGTATAAGGAGCTGAAAGAATGAGAGAAGATAGACCAGGATGAGAAGCATGATACCATTCACAATATCACAGCAGTCGCTGTACCTTCAGTCACGATCACCGTCTACCGCATCGCCGCCAACGGATTCGTCACAAGCAGGTCAGGAAGCACGATTATAGCATCATCCTGGTAAGCAATCAGCAAAATCATCAACATCTGCACCTCACCGCCTTTTCACTGCGGAATGTTGCGCAGACGAAGGAGGAACAGAGCTTACATGCAGTATCATATGCGGAGCACCGTTATTCTGCACGGCTAGGTCTGGAAGACAGGGCTTTTCGTTCAATTCGTTACTGCAGCCAGCATCACAGCGGGCATGTCATACGGTTTCTCATTTCTGGAGGTTCGCCTATCCAGCACGCCCGGACGTTCAAGTTCTCAGGTGAACAGCAAGGTCGCGTCAGCATGCCGCAGCAGTGTACGACTTGTTCGTGCCAGGGGGGTGAGCTTTGAAATGGCCCGTGGTCAGATGACTGCGCTAGTCTTGCCCATGGATTAAAGCGAGATGTATGTGTAAGCGCTGCACGCCAGATGTTCCCAAGCAAGGTTGGCGCATCTGGCAGCGGGAAAAGTACAATCGCAAGCCTTCTTTTTCGCCATTACGATCCTCCCGTCAGGGCCTGACTTAGCTTCGTGCATCAGGTGTTGGTTTGATTGAAAGAAGAATTATGCAGGTTGGCGAGATCTCGGTTGACAAGGTGAAGCTTTGTGATTGGAATACAAGTTCATTGCACTCGCAAATGGCGTTGGCCACCGGGCTTCATTAGCGGCATCAAACTGGTAAGAACCTCTGATATCTCTTTGGCTTCATGCCATGTCGTGGCACACAAGCGTGGCATGCACCTGTTCGTCGTCCTTCAAGGTTGCCCAGCAGCCCCTGCTCTTCGACACAAGTATCCGAAATAATCTTACCTATGGTTGCCGAAGGCGCGCAGACTTACACTTAAGGAACATCAGCAGCCCAAGGGGAGTGAAGGTTTGGGCAGTCGGTAAGCCCGATAGAGGGTGTATTGCTATGGGATTGTGCAAATTCCCTGTCTTTAAAGACCTTGTAATTATAGAATCCTTTAGACAACATCCGACATGTAGTACACTGCGAAATGCCCGGAAATGAGTGGATGCAGTGCAAGGGCGGGATTGCGGGACTGTGTAGCAGTGTGGCCACATAGACCGTGGGGTGCCTCCCCTAGCCCCTAGCCTACACTCAAGTCTGACTAGACAAGACTCTGTGGAAGACATAAGCAGGGTACCCAGAGGGTCAGCGATATAAAGGTCCACGGTGCACAATAGAAACTTGTTTACAAGTAGGACGTCGCACCGTGCTTCAGAGCTCCCTCCCAGACCGGTTGTAGGTGGCCTACCTATTACCGCTAGGGTCCCCCTCTTGGTGCGGTGAGTCGATTGAAGTGGGGGGGAGAGGCCGTCGAGAGGGATGGCTGGCACAAGGGCTCTTTTCACACACGGTCGCAGGGATGTCCTTGACGAAGAGATTGAGGCCGATATTTCTTGATTTCCATCCGTGCATGCGGCAGTGGCTATTTGCAGGCAGCTGCTCGCATGGCGTCTGCGCATGATTTTATCCTCGGATTTCCAGCTGGCTACGACACCTATGTGGGTCTCCAGCTCAAGTTGGAATCTTGTCAGTTCCTTTTACGCTAATGAACTGTCTTTCAAGTTTCGTCGAGCACGGCCGGGCATGCGTGCGCGTTGCCAGCCCACTTTGATCATCGATCCCTAAAACATTCAAGCTGCGCACCCATTCGCACTCCCGGCCCTCAGCTGAAGTTGCGCACGCACGCCCCTCGCCTAGCAGCTTCCTCTCACACTTGCTGTGCTAGAACTCAGGTGACCAAGGGGCTCACATGTCCGGTGGTCAGAAGCTCGAGCCTAAGCCAGAGAGTCTGGAAGAGACAGAGCAGCTATCGCAGCTTGGAGGCAGCGGCTCAGCATTGCGAGGGCTGTTATCCTGAAGCCTCAGATTCTGGTGCTCGACGAAGCTGGGTGCTTTACCTTCTGCCGCTATCGGTTCGTATCTGTTGGCATGTCACCATGGAGCAAGTTGAACAATGTAACTGGAGGCGACGAGTGCTCTCGATGCAGAAGCTGAGGGGGCTGTGCAGGCATTGTGCAAGGTTTTTTGCAACGCAGAAGTTGCTGGATCCCGCAGCTTGCTGGGAGGACGCACTGGATGCTGTCATGTCCGGGCGAACGACACTTGTCATCGCACACCGTCTTAGTGCCCGACGCAACTGCACGATTTGCAGAAATCTTCCAAAGCTTTCTACCAGGTACCATCCGAAATGCCCACAGCATCGTCTGCATGAGGGACGGGCAGATCGTGGAGCGAGGTTCTCCTAAGGCACACTGACTATCCAAGTTTGAGTTTACCCAAGTCCAGCTGTGTCTTTACCTCTCCGTGGCAGGAGCTTCTGGCCAAACAGGGGTACTATTGGAGCCTGGTGCGTCGCCAGGCATTGGCCTCATTGGTTTGAGCCTGCCCGATACCGTTCGCGGTGGGCATGTGAAGAGGTCTGCACTCTTGATGACCTCTCCGACTTCAACCTGGCGTTGGACCAACATCCTGCTGAGACTGCAGAGGCGCCGTCACATCAGCCTTTTGCATGGCTCATCCGGTTGAGTTGAAGGTGAGCCCAGCCAGCCAGGACAAAGCCAGTAGCTTAACCTCTCAGAACGCCAGCGCTTGGCTTCTTGGAGCGATTGAGGCCTAGGCTGCCACCGCGTCCGCAACTCGCCTAGTAGGTGTGAGCAGTGTACAGTGAAGGCTCACCGCAGTGCGGCCGAAAGATGAGCTATGCAGTCAAAAGATGCCAAAGCTTTCAAGAGCCGAGCGTGTATTGTCCGACAAACCTCGTGGTGTGAAAGCAGACGGGCACTTGATGCCCTCCTGGGAATCTCCGCTTCCACAGTCCATGAGACATGGCAGAGCAATTTACTTTGCCGGTCGCGTTCAATAAACCGTTACTGTAGATATTTAGCGGACGATTCTCGGCAGGCGCGAGGTGTTGGCGTCATCTCCGAGCCTGAGATCAGCACGTGCCTCCAGCTCGAATCTCTGTCGCCGTCTGCTTTGAGTCGCCGTGGAATTGTCGATTCTGGGACGCATCCCCAAGGCTTCCATCTCAGAGTGCTGTCATTGTTGCGTCCGATGGAGTCTGGGAGAAGGCCGGGCCTGGACCAGGCTGTGGGTCCCTTGCGGCCTTCGTCCGAGACTCCGCAGCGATTAACCCGTCCACGACATTCCACGACCGGGGTTTGAAGAGATGCGATCCACCAACAACATCTCATGCTGCGACCGTCAGTGATGAGTGATTCTTCCAAGATCTGCCAATTAAAAGTTACCGCTGAGACCCAAAGCCCGAGCTGGTTCTGCTCGCAGAAAGGAAGCCTGACAGCGTCGAAGTTTTCCCACAACCTCGGCGTTTGATTGCCGTCTGTTCAATCAGTCCTGCTCGGCATCCGTGGCCCAAACTCAATGACGTCCATGGTTTGAATGTGTTTGAGATTTCAGAGCATCCATGGCCCAAATCTCCGGGATTGGACGGGTATGTGGCTTGAGACTTGACGGTTGGAGTCCGTCGCTGAAGAGCTTTCATCTTCGGGTAAGCAACTTCACATTTCAGGGTGTAGGCTTGCGCTTGAAGGCAGGCGTGAGGGTTTGGGGTTGCGTTTCAACTTTAGATTTTTTGCAACTTGTTGTTCTTTTGCTTCGCGACGGACCTCTGTCGCATCAAGGGGGAAGGGTAGCAGTCGTCGTCGGTGTAGTACTAGTGGCGGTGGTGGTAGTAGCAGAAGTGGCAGCGGCCGTGGCCGTAATATCAGCACAGTAGCAGCACCAGTGGCAGTAGCAGCAGCAGCAGCAGCAGTAGGAGGCGGAGGAGGAGGAGGAGGAGCAGTGGCAGTCGTAGAGGTCCCATATAGTGTCGGATTAGAAGCAGAGGTAGATACTCGAATATGCTTGTTGGAGGGTGGTGGTGATGGGGGATGCACCCGAGGCAGGGGGGTATGGTGGTGGGGTCGATGTTGCGGCCAGAGTGGCCATCTGTTACTGCTGTACATGCCCACCCTGATAGGTACTCTATCATAATAAGAGGCCCTATTCCTACCGCTCGGTGGGGATGGTCCAAGCAAATGTTTTGGAGAGGGCATGATTGCATGCATCGTGCTTTCGGTCTTGCCCTTCTTGCACAGCCAGGTGACATCGCAAGAGGCTGCGGCGATCACTGCTGCAGCTTTGAAGCTCAATGGCGGAGAGCAAGGTGACGGATGTACTGTTTGGTTTCGGTCGGGAAAGAAGACTTTGAGCCAGCATCATTCATGTCTTCGGCATGATATTGAGAAGTTCACACCGCTTCCTGAATCGTTCTTCGTACTCCCCAAATAGCTCGCAGCTTGTGCAACGACTGCGGGATTGGCACAAAGATGTCAAACGACGTACCTCCAAATCCTCCATTGGCTTGCTACGAGGAGCCAGCATCGCAGCCAAAGCCCTGGTGTCGGAGGCGGACGGTGTCGGCGCAGCAGCACACCAAGATCACGTAGCTACACATTGTGTTTGTTACTTGAGCAGACATGAGCGGACTGTGCCGAGCCACTGAGTCGAATTGTTGTTTTGCTAAAGCTGCAACACATGGTGGTGCAAATACAGTTCGTGCTGAAGCCGGCATGCAGGAGCAGGATTGACGTCACTGTACGTCATTTGCGGCAGGGTTTCACCGCTGTCTCTTGCGAGTCCTTGATATTATATAAATACATGTGGCGACTCTAAATCGGAAGTCCAAATGGTTCTGGCTTCCTTCACATACTTCTCAGTAAGACTTTGGGATGCCAAGTGAACAACAGACTTCGGGCTCGCTGCGGTCACCTGCAGTAGCCATGCCAGACATGAAGACACGAAACACATCGCACCGTTTCAGCAGGCGAGGTCGCGCTGGATTCAGCAAGGTGGAGATGTTGACGACATCACTGCCGTGTTCTGGCCGGATTTAGCAGACAAGACGATGTTGTGATTCCACCTGTGCTCCTTTCAAGCCTGCTAGGTTGTGATCGAAATGGGTGAGGCTCAACTGCATGCATGCGCTTTCGATGTCTGCCTCCTAGACTAGACATGCAGAGTTGTCCAGTTGTCCAGGCTGTATGAGCCAGCCAGCGAGTTTCACAAGTCTTCAAAGGATTCGCTAATGGAACCAGCACCGGTCGTTGCACCGGGGCAAGCAGCCAAAGAGCGCACACTATGGACTGGACATGACTGGACGTCATGGTAATGGTGCGGCAGTTGTCCCAGATGGGTTTTTGCGGTGTTCTTTCCTGGCCGTGGGTCAGCAATCCCGCACACGCTGCCACGCTTCGTTAATGGCTGAGACAAAACGACTCCGACTCCGAAGCCGTGCTAGGGCAGCAAACAGCAGGTTGCCTGCAAGTAAAAATTCGGCATTTCTCAAGGCTCTGAGTTGCCGTGCTCGGTGAGATACAGATTGCGATTATTGTAGAATCTCTACTTGACATGATTCAGCTGCTTAAACCTCAGCACTTGGCTAGTCGGCTATGGATGCTTCGGCTGTATGGACGCCTCTCTGAAATGCTCAGTGAAAGCCGGGACAGCGAAGATTCCTTTCGCAGTCGCAGATGACACTGCAGGACTACAGCAGGAACTGTTGAAGCGGGTCGATGTCAGCAAAATACAAGCCCTTCAATCTCAAGTGCAAGTGGTACTTCGGGCAGAGGCGATCAGACTGGCAGATCTTCGGCATGTGACCCAGTGGTCGAAAGATTTGCAGAAGCAGCTGCACCTTGACCAAGCAGATCGTTTGGTTCGCGTTGGCTGGCCGTGTAAAGAGCTAGCACGCTGTGAACATGTTCTGTGTATGGTGGATGCGTGGGATGCCTTGCTGGCGCAAGTTCAGGAGCGCATGAAAGCTCCCAACACTATGGGCGGACCCATATTGCTAAAGCAACTGGCTGAAGCCTGGGCAGCGATCTCCAAGCTTGAGAAGGCTTATCAGGAGATCCAAGATCGAGCTCGGAGTGCTGCAGGCCTTGTTACTGCCTTTGCAGACCGACTCGCGGCCGACGCCAGGCGAGAGACCTTTGTTGGGCTGCGCCAGGGCTTGGCCGCTGTGCTTTGTGACCGAAAGCTTTGCAGCAGCCTGGAAGACCTCGGAGCCGAGCTACCGCCCCTGGAGTCCAAAAGCCAATCAGAGGCACGGGCTGAACGGGTGCCACGCCTGGGCTATGAGGAGGGCGCAAGAGAGTTGAGCAAGAAGGACTCCGCTAGTAGTCTGTCGAGGATTCTGTGTGCAACTGTCAGAGTGTTTACTACCTTTTGACTCAGATTTTTTGGCTTGGGCACAGTTTCGTTCGTCGGCTCTCCGCGTACAGGATGCATGCTGGCAATGCTTGGAGCGTGGCGAGGAAGCGCAGGCAATGCTGACCCGGTTTGCCAGAGCCAACTACCGCCAATGACAATCACGCCGATGACAATCCCAAGTGCTAGCTTTGAAGTTTGAGAGATGCATCTTGGTCGTTGCGGTCTCGAGGCCATGCTTTTGGTGGAAGAGGCCGGATCTTGTCCCTCTTGGCCAGTTCTTCGTAAGTCCTAGAATGTAAGGTTTCTGGCTTAACGAATGAGATGTGAAGCCTGAGCCTTTTCTTCGAGTCCTACTGTAGAGGCTCGCGGGCTCGTGATACTGACGATCCGATCTGTGCAACCGAAACTGAGCCAACTCAGCCTCAGTGGGAAGGTTGAACCGGGATTCTAATGGGAAGCCCTGAACTGAACACGCGTGACCGCATTGCATGCATTGAAGTTTCCGAGCAGTGCACTTTCCTTTCTGCTTGGTAGCTATTGTCTCGCTGTTCTGTTGTTTTGTGGGCTACAGCTGATTGGATGATTCCGCAGTCTGCTTCAGCACATTTGCCAGGCTTTGAAAAGCGGCCGCGACGGCAGGCTTCGCAACTTCCGAGCTGCAGGGTCGTGGTTGCGGCACGCTTCATGTCCTCAAGGAAAGGTCGCAGCGTCTTCTTGCTTTCAATACTGCTTGAGTCTGAGGTCATGTGCCCAGGTATTGGATGGTGAAGCCACCTAATTTGCCAAGGCATGGGCTTCCAGCAGTAGCACTTCGAATCTGGTCGCAGTCTTACCAACCAGTCGATGGCTCTCAGCAGCCTAGCATTTGATGTGCAGTGATCCGGAAGTCGTGAGCATCGGCAAAGGGAGCTGTTCCCCCCCGACGGTGGATGCCGAGGCGATGTCAGATGTGAGCTGTGACTTGCAGGACGAATAGATAGGTCTTTGCTCGGTCTGCAGATGGATCATGAGCTGCCGGGACACAGACTCCTCTTTCGAGGAAGGCTTGCTTGAGGCATCTAACCTGAGTTAAGAGCCGTGCAGATATCCGAAGACGGCACTTGCAACCGAGCGAAAGCAGGATCACAGTTGAATGCAAGTCCAAGGAAGCGCATCCAGAGATCCCAAGCCCCGTCATGCCGCACGAAGAACAATGATGCGAAATGAAGCGAGCATTTCATACGTAGGCTTGTGTTCAATATGCCCGATGATGCACCAATTTGCATCGCAGATATAAGATTGCAATGTCGTATCTAAGACATCAGGGGGAGTATTGGGATCACTGAGCTGGTGCCCGTGAATCTCACATCCGTTAATTCTTCTGCTCACTCAGGGTGTGCGTGTACCTTCTACTTTCGCCAGGTGTGGACACAAGCGAGACGACAACTTCAGGAGACACGCCCGAGCCTGAAGCATACAAGATAAATTGGACATGCCCTGCGCCTGCGGCGTCTCCTTACGTTTGCTACATGTTGCGCTTTGCCCAGGGTTCGGCACTGTGTCGAGCATGTTGACTCTTGAATCCTCGGAGGTTTGTGGTTCAGCATTTAACGCCAGACGATGTTGCGCATATTGTTCTGCTGAGCATTGCTGAACCCTCCGCTGACCAAGGAACCTTTTGGAGTATAAGCTGCGCGTTCTTCGCCTGTACACTTCGGGGTGCACCTTCTATTCCATCTCAATTTCGCAGCTGCAATTTCCGGCTCGCCACAATCCCACTGAACAAGCTTTTCCATCAACAGTGCGTCCATGCTGAGACAGTCGCCTGACTCTACGAGGCAGAAGAACATGGACATATGTAGACCATCTGACTGTCTTTCACCACAGTGCTACACGACCGACGCTGTACTTCTGGCAGTGTCTGACGTTCCTTAATTTGCACTCTTTTCTCAATGGGATGTTCTAGCCGTGTCTTATCTATCTGCGATAGCTTCACCAGCTACATCCAGCTACTAGAGCTCGAGTGACAGCCCCCAGCACAAGCCAATCATGCAAGTTGGCAAAGCAAGAGCAAGCAGAGAAAGACTGCAGATCTAGCAAGTGAGGTGTAGTACTCGTGCGAGCCATTGCTCGTGCATGCAAGTCCATTCATGCAGTGCCACTGCAAGGTTGATGCACGTCATCTGCAGGGCAAAGAAGTTCGACAGTCTGCATGCAGAGCGGCGCACTCAGCGACATGGCACCTTGCAGAGGAATGCTGCAGTGTCTGCGGAGGTTGGTGTCAAAGCTCTTGAGTTCAACTAGCGGTGCGCCAATCAATTGTCAGACGCCGAGATGTGGCGATCTGTGTTGAGCGGATTTGTTTTGAGACTGCTCGTGCAAAGAGGTCAGAAGAATGATGCAGGCAGCTGCAATCGGGACGTTCTATTCTTCGAGATGTGTGCTTTTTGCAGAGGGTTTGCATGCTGGGTGCGTAACTTGCGCGGGTCCGTCTATGACTGTGGGACTTAGTTAGGGTCTGCTTCTGGGCATCCTGGTGGGTACCGGTGTTCCCGACCGGCTCGAGTTGGTGCGAGGTCAGATGTTCCTGCATGTTGCAGCAGCACGCCTGAATTGCAGAGTGCTGGCCGGATTCTCAGGTGGTTGTAAGCAGTGTTGTAGCTTTGTCGATATTAGCTAAAGGCTTCGCGTCGTCCGGCTCGGCCCGGGTAGGTCACAGAGGTGAGGTCTTCAGTGAATGAGCGCATGTGCTTCAATGTCAGGATTTGTTTTCGTGCTGAGGCTCGGAGCAATAATCCCACGTGGCACATTCCCCGCATTATCCCATAGACGTTACGCATGTTACGCTAATAATCGTGTCACACCTCTCACAGGTTCGTATACAACCTCCCATATGTCGGAAGGGGAATCAAGCTTTGCAACGAAGTATAAGACACAGCCCCAGAATTGTCAGGCTCTGGCATCAGCTTCACGAATGATGTAAACTAGCCCGTCTTGCCTCGCGCAAACAATCATGCTCACAGCTATGCGGCTATGCGCCTGTCCTGCGTTGCCTGTAGACCTGTACGCCTTGCGAGGGTCTATACGCCCAGGCTACATGTCAACGTGGTAGCGGAGCTCCATGGAAAAACGGGAAGCTGCACACTTGTGGGGGTACCCGTTGTACGCTCTGCACAGGTGGAGGCAACCGGACAAGCAGATGGCCGGAGGTTTTCCGGTACACTTCGCACAGGTGGAGGCAACCAGAAGAGAAATCTCCGGGGCTGGATCCGAGGACAAAGCCATGGCTAACCTCTCTGCTGCGCCTTACGAGCATTGCAAGGGAAATGAAGAGTACCTCATTCAAGGTCACGAAACTTATGCGACAAGTCAGCGACATCTTCAAGAATTGCACCGACTCTCAGCCTTTCAGCAGGTGACCACCGAAGTACCGCCGTTTTATGCAGGACGAAGCATTTGGTTCGCCTACGAAGACGCGATCGATGATTGGTGTGACATCACTGAGCTAGACAATGACAAGCGTGGACCAGCGTTGCGGAACCGTTTAGAAGGAGAAGCAGCAATCCACAAAAGGCTTTTTGACAGAGATCGCCGGGAAGTACTTCAAGAGCTTCCTGCAGCTGCTCTTCGTGAAGGGCGCGGCCAATGTGTTCCTTTACCGGTTCCAGCAGTTGATGAACTTGCACCGTGGTAGCGGAGACATCGCTTCCGCCGTCGGTTTCATGAGTTGGACCTGGCTTGAGCAAGGGCTGAAGCTATGGCTCAGTGAGACCATGTCGTTCGAGCGCGATTTCTTTCTGCCCATGCCCAATTCTGACTGAGGAGCTGCAGAAAAGGCATTAGAGGCGAAAGCCAGCTAGCTCAGAGAACTGCTGCAGCGGGACACCCACCGTCCGTCGCACCCTGCTCAGCCGCAATCATGCAGACGAGGACACTGCGGCCGAGAGTTCGCAGTGTCCAGTATGCAAGAGGTGGCTCGCAAAGGACAATGCGGCATGGGACCAGCACCAGATGAGTGTTGTCCACCAACGGGCAAGACTCGTTAAAGCGGGAATGGCGGAACCTCAGTTTAGCGAAAAAGCAAAGGAAGTGTCCGACCGTTTGTGGTCTCGCTACGACGAGGGGGAGACCAGGACCTGGAGCTTGAGGAGAAGCCCCCCTCGAAAAAGTCCCGCACAGAGACTGGCACGGGTAGTGGTGGCAAGGGCGGTGGTGGCGGCAGTCCAAAACGAAGACGCCCGGGGGTGGCCATGGCATGGTGCGTTCCAGCGTCCCTACCAAACCAAATTTCGTCAGCCTCAACGAGGCTGGATTCAAGCCACTAAGATCGTTCGTCCTGCAAACCGTCCACGGCTTCAAGAGTTTGTAAAATGCTAGACCCCGGGCAAACAGCGGCGCAGATTTGTCAGTCAGCAACAGCTCGAGTGCACCCACCAGCATAAAAGGGAGCAGCGGCGCTTTCTTTGTCGGCGGTGCCCCGATCTCAAAATCATGCGAATCACGCGTTGCCTGGTTTACGACGCGCTTGTCTGCTGCAACGCCACACTTCCTCTCCATGATGGACAGTGCTTCTAGAATGGCACTGGGAACACTGCGGCTACACGGCTCGGCAACACGATTTTGCAGGTAGTCCAACACCACGCCAACATGTTTCGGCCACGGGCAAGCACTGAGTCCCAAACAAAAGACGCGCATGTTTCCAAGTGACGCCGCTATGGCTGACGCTGGGCTCGAAGCCAGCTGGGCTTGCTGAACCAGGGGGTGTTCGCGCCAACAAAACGCTCCACAAGATGTGCACACCACCGCTGCCGCTCGGCCTTCTCGACTGTTGCCCGAGACAACCTCAACTTAGAGTCCGCGAGCTTGCGGGCTGCTCGCGTCGGCCAAGCACCTCACTGGAATTAGAGGACGCGAACATGCGAACTTCTTGGCCAGTGATACGTTCTGCCAAGCTGGGTCCAGTAGGCCCCGACGCTTGTTTCGCCGCTGCGTGCGGAGCAGAGCTCTCGATTGTAAGGTCGGAAAAATCTGAATTGCCCTGCGGTGGTCATGCTGAGGAACAAATGAGCTCATCTCTGCAGCTAAATCGCTCGCGTCTTCAAACATGTATGGCAGGAAAGCATCATCGGGCAAATGCCCGCCAGCTGCACCATAAACTGTGCGACACCTTCACGGGAGCTGCACCCAAAGATCTGAGTCCGGCAAAGATAGATCCACGGTCTCAGTTTCTGATTCACTTTCAGTGGAGGACGCCATAGCACAAGATCGAAAATCAGGGCCTCAAGTATGAACATGTCGCACTGTCCAGTCAGTTCGCGCTGCCCAAAGACTGCTAAGCCTAGCTCGGCTTTGCGCACACGACAACCTGCCAAAACATGGCACGGCAAAGATGTGCCTCCCTGCAACACGCATCCTCTCACGCCACACAGGAGCAACGGCATGCACACGCACAAGACAACCTACTCAAACAAGGACTCTATCGGATCCCTCTTTTCGCCCCTCCAGTTCGACCCGCTTAGTTTAATCGTCTTGCCAAATTTCAATGTCAAGAGCATTTTCGTTGTCGACATGTCGACGACAGCAACTTCACCGATGTTTTTCTTGCTTTCTCGGGTGGTGCACGAGACGGGAATGAGAGCTGCGATCCTCCAGACGGGAAACTTGGACAAGATTCTCAAAGAGGAAGAGGCCAGGAATTGACAACCAGACCACCAAACCACACTGTCACTGTCTGTCAATGGGAGAATTATTGAGATCGTGAGTTTGGCACAACGCAGCACCGGCTTCTGACAACGATATCGCACCCCAGGCACAATGCTTGACGATCGTCCCGGGCTTGGTTACTCGAATCGCGCGTTGCTCAGTTCCGGTGATCGTGAGCCTTTGGCCAGAAGTCACATTCGCTATGAACTGTGACATGCGACTGATTTGCCAGGTTGAGCCGGATTCTTCAGGCCAGACTCCGCTGTTCATACTGGCACCAAGCCTGAGAGCATAAAGTATTTGCAGCTGACGCACCAGAGCGGTACATGATGCAGCCGGAAAGTGAGGCACGGCACCTCCAAAGTTTGGGTGGGGTCCACACAGTCCCCACGGCACCATCGCGCGACGAAGTTCGAGCAGCATCCAAGCCCGTGGGCGGTGCAGAGGTGTCACTGGAAGTCGAGGTGCTTGACCTGCTGTGAGTGTCTTCAGCTATCCCACAAAATGACGGATCAGGACGAGGTGTCTGGCAAGCTCGTGCGTTGGCTTCTGAGAATTCCTGTCATGCTTTGATCCATGATGATCGCACCTGTCCGAGTAGGCTGGTTGCAGTTTTTTACAGTCTTGCCGAAGGATGCTCGGCTTTCAGGCTATTGCAGACTGGCTGGGGGGGGGCGGGGTCTGAAAGGAGGGCCAAAGCCGGATGCTGACAAGATCCAAAGCCAGAGTTGTGAAGTTGTGCCGCTAGTGAACAACAAACCCCACCCAACACCGTTCAAGGATTTGGAGCGGCAACTTGCCAGTGCCAACCCATCAAATCGAGAAGTCCAGTGGACACCTGAGTTCGGACAAGACCCAGGGCTCAAGGAGAGCCGATGTGAGCGGGGCTGGCGGGGACAGAGGCTGGCCACGTCTTGTATCTGTTTCAAACGCTGCGGTGGTCCATGGGGCAGGAGTTGGAAGGCATTGGGATTCCGACGCACTTTCGTGGTTTCCAAGATTAAGCGGTAGGCGGCCTGCGCACTGGAGGCATCAAATGCACTGCCTCCATCTTGAAGGGCAGCACCTGGGCTACCGACCTGCAGCGTTCCCAGCTGTGATCTTGTGAGGGTCTGTGATGGGAGTGAACTTCCAGCTCAGGCGAGACGGTAGCTGCCTCAAGGCGGCTGTGACTTTGAAAGATCGTCGTACAGTCGTGCAGAGTTTTTGTTCTACAGTATGGTGCCTGGGCCAGACGTGTCGGAGGTGGACCCTGCCTGCTGCCGAAGTGCCTCTGCGGTGAGGGCTGCAGTGTTATTTCTTGATGGACAGCCAGGAGCCTTATTCCATGTATTGCCTTGCAACATGGATCCTCGGAAGCGCATGGATGGCTTGTCAAGTTTGAGGCCACTATCACTTTCGGACGGGCGCACGCTGTGGCAGCTTTTGAGTTTCACGGTCCAGTGACGGCCCCGGAATCCCGGAATGACTCCTTTCAACCGGGGGCAGTCCAGGAGCTAAAAGCGATCTCTCGCATCAAGCTGCACTGCTGTCTCTTTTCGAAGGTACCGACTTCCCGGTGACTTGCGACGTGCTTCTATCTCCGGTTTGCCTTCGGCCTAGAAGCTCTTGTGCACTAGGAGCATCGTGGGTAGTTACAGGGTAGACTCTAAGTGCAATGGGCAGCCCCGCTGGGGTATACCGGGTATGCCGAATTGTAGCCTAGCTATCTGACCACAACCAAAGTACGCATGAGCCTCGCAGTTAAGGGCATCATCAGCAACTTCAAGGGTGCATGAAATTGTGTTCGGCAGTCGTAAGGACAGAACTGTTGCCAGCAAAAGGGCTCGTCGATTCAGGGTCTCGAGACTTCTGGAGGGATGATGTGCTGCGCAATCAATATTCAGATACTGGTTTTGGAAGATGTTTTGTCCGGTGCCACTCGCGTGTGTACACACATATGCTTCCGTTTTCGCGTGTACGAGGTTGCAGAGCCTGGAAGATCCAATCAATGCGCCCGTTTTGCTGAGAGCTCAGCAATGGTCGGGAGATCCTTGATCCAGAGCTGTTGGACTCAAGGAATCTTGGCATGTCCAAGTTAAATAAAGCCCAGAAAAACTCGATCATTCAACTGCGGGCTTCAGACTTTCATGACTCCAAAAACCTGTGTGCCTTCGTCAGTAGCACCTTCAAATCTGTCGCAATCTTCGGCTTGAAATTGTGCAGAGGGTCCAAGTGCTCGATGCTGAGAGCGCTGACACCCCACCACCACGTCTTTCTTCCTGGAGGATTCTGAAGCACAGGAGGATACCTGTACATCCTGTACTGAACGCTAGTTGAAGCATTCTAGCTCCTGCTGAAGGACACGAAGCCGGTTTAAGCATGTAGACCAGAGCAGAAGCACTTGTACTGCTGCCCCTGATAATTTCAGTGCAGTGGCGAGGCCTATGCTGATCCGCGGTGCGCTCGCAGCAGGGCTTAATGTGGAACAGCGTCGGTATGTCTTGTCCGGTTCTTAGTACTGTCGAAGCGATGAGATCCACAGACACTGACGTCCAGAAAATCTGGAATCATTTTATTGTTGGCCGTGTTCTCCATTGTCGGTGTGGGAGAATTTTGGCCGATGCATTCGCATTGCGACAGTCCTTGCATATGTTGCGTTTCGTCCTTTCGCTTCTGCACCATGCAGATCGGGTCTCTTTGTTGTGGCGTTTCGCACATCTTCGAGCTTTCCTTGCATGGGGTGCTGGAGAAGCGCGCGAGGCCTTGGCTCCTGTGGCGCTTTGGTCCAAGCAACCGGAGAAAGCGGTTCGCCTGTTCATGGAACGGGCAGGGCGCAGCGCCAAAGCGGCCCCTTTAGCGCTGAACCTTCGACGATGCGCGTGATTCCGCTGTGATATGGTCGACTCCACCTCTATGTGACTATCTCTTGCTCCTGTGCCCATGAGACCTGAGAGGGGAACAGGTCTTGCTTTTACCTTTGCCGAATCGTGTTCCGTTGCTTTGAATTTGCACTGGGTGACAAGATGATACGAAGTGTGCTAGCATGGCCGCCCCTGGTTGGTGATCGGCTTGCTCAGCCATACGGAATGATTGGGCAGAGGCGCCGCTGTCTCGGCCATCTTTCCGGCACACATGGGACTCTGCATTGTTTAGTTGTGCTTGGCAGATTTGGCAGCAGCCGAGGTTTAAGATGCTCACTACGCCCGACGCTTTGGTTTCAGCAGGATGGAGGGTCGCTTGATCTGATTCGATGGCTTTCATGCCACATGTTGATGATCGTGGCAGTGACTTGACTTGATGTATGTTGCTAACAGTCCACAGCAGCATGAAGCAGCTGATGGACCGGCAATGACTGGCACTACTGCCCCACAAGTTGGCCTCCCGGTGTGCCTCAGACAGGACATTCCGATGACGGCCTCCAAAGGCAGGCGAAGGCTGGATCGTCGCACATCAATTCTTTTTGGTCTCTCAAAGTGAGAGGATTCCTCTCTGCAGGTAGTGCAGGCAGTGCTTGCCGAGATGGAGCACCAGATCCGGCACATGAAATCAAGATCCGACAAGGCTCATCATCCGGACGCAGGCCCAATGGCATTCGTAATGACTTCCCCCAGCTTGTGGGTTTTATTTCGCCTTACAGGCCCAAATTGAATTAGAGTTCTGCCACGCAAGTCACCTTGTGCATCGAGATCATATGAGAGTTCGAGTTTCAACTCAGCTCCGCCGCATTTTTTGCTCGACATGTACAAGGTCAAAGCTGGTGGTCCCGTATGGCACAAACCTGTTTCTCCGAGTTTCTCCTAGCGTAAAGGCTTAGCTACAAGGTACCAGCTTGAGACACTCAAGTAGGAAGCAGGGAAGGAACACGATGCACGTGGCCTGGCATGAATTTCACGAGCCGAGTGGCGCTGCGTGGTGACCCGGTCGATGCTGGCCCCCCGAGCGAGAGCGAGGCTGATGGACTCCCGGCGCAGTCAGAAGTTTATTTAGTTAGGTTTAGTTTCTGAGTTCGCGTCATGTGCGCACTTGTCCCATGACTTGAGGCCTTCCCGGGAAGCTCGGCATCACTGTCAATGAGGAGAACGAAGCGAAATCTGTTAGTTCTCCAAAGCAGGATCCTGGCCACGAAGACAAGAAAGATCCAGAGGCTGACGGATCCAGCGACGAAGGAGCTGAAGGTTTGGACAAGGCTACCGAGATGTCCGGAACGATGACGAAGCCGTTCAAGTCTAAGCCGGACGCAGGCGAACACCCAGCGGGTAAACCCAAAGACGCTGCTAGTGTGCCGCCGAGGGCGCG